CTCCACCGAAGGCTCCAGTGGCAGGGTCCGCATGCGTCATCGCCACCCAGGGCAGCGTTGCGTGGCCCCACAGGGAGCTAGCTCCACCGAAGGCCCCAATGTCAGGGTCCGCGTGCATATCCCCTGCCAAGCACAGCTTTTCGTGGCCCCATAGGGAGCTCCACCGAAGGCTCCGGTGGCACCATTCGCATGAGTCTCCCCCGCCCAGGACTTTGTCTCGTGGCCCCACTGGGAGCTCCACCGAAGGACCCAGTGGCGCCGTTCGCATGCGTTTCCCCCGCTTCGTGGCCCCATAGGGAGCTCCACCGAAGGCCGCAGTGGCGCAGTTCGCTTGCGTCTCCCCCACCCATGACAGCGTTTCGTGGCCCCACGAGGAGCTCCAACGAAGGTCCCAATTGCGCAGTTCGCATGCGTCTTCCCCACCCAGGACAACGTTTCGTGGCCCCATAGGGAGCTCCACCGAAAACGATACCCACAAAGTGGCACTCGCAGTGGCATATGGTTGGGTCCTTCGTCAGGCTGATTTGACGCTCCCGAGGCCCCCAGAGGCCGAACACGGCCAAAAACCGTCCGTCCTAATTTTTTGGTTTGGAGCTTCGGATCTCCAGGAAGGCTCCCGCCCTCTGAGAGGCCCCTTCCTTCCATGAGTACCCCATCGCCTTCGCGGGCGGCTGCCCCTCCCCCCCTCGCGCCACCCCGTGGGCGCGCACCGCTCAGTCGATCCGCCCTCCTGATGTGTCGCCGACTCACCCAAACCCTCGACGTCGCGATTTTTTCACAACGTGGACACCCCCCAACCCCCTCGACTTGTGACAAAAACACGACGGCTGGTTTTTCCCGGAAAGGGCGCGGGCCCAGGGTTCTCTTTTAGTAGGTTAACCCCCCGGCCCCCCTGCGACTTGGGCCGGCGAAATTATTCTGCGATAAATTACGTGCGGGAAGAGGGCCGGCGAAATTATTTTTGAGGTTGTCTCGAGCGAAACGCTTGTTTTTCAGAATTTGTTGAGGATGTCTCGAGCGAGACGCTGGTTTTGCAGAGTTGGGGATGTCTCGAGCGAAACGCTTGGTTTCAGAATTTGTTGAGGATGTCTCGAGCGACACGCTGGTTTTGCAGAGCCGACCGCGACACGGAAAAGCGCCCCTCGCGCAGGAATTCCAAGGATGTCTCGCGCGTGCCGCGTCCCGCGCGCGGGTATTTGGATTTCTTGGGATTTTGACAGGATGTCTCGAGCGAAACGCTTGTTTTTCATAATTTGTTGAGGATGTCTCGAGCGAAACGCTGGTTTTGCAAAATTGGAGGATGTCTCGAGCGGTGGCCTTGTGGGGGGCCAGAATTCAAAGGATGTCTCAGGCGAAATGCTTGTTTTCACGTCCCGCTCGCAGGAATTCCGAGGATGTCTCGCGCGTGCAGCGTCCCGCGCGTAGGAATTCAGATGATTTTGACAGGATGTCTCTAGCGAAACGCTTGCCCCCAGCACGTTCCGTAGCGCGTCCCCTCGGCACGTCCCGCAGTGCGTCTTCGTGGCACGTCCCCTGGCACGTCGCCTGGCGCGTCCCGTGGGACGTTCCGCGGCGCGTCCTCCTGGCATGTCCCCTTGTCCATTAGCTCTGGGGCAGCTACTATGTGCTGAGGCAGCTCGAGCTTGAGATCCAGATCAGTTCGGTCAGGACTCGGGTGCAAAGGAGGACTCGACCCACAACGCTATAAAGCACAATCGCGGCATGGCACGTCGCAGTTCAGCACGGCGCAGCACAGCACAGGCCTCGGCACGGTACATCAAGATCGATACATTCAGCACTGCAACCTGGCACGTTCCGTGGCGCGTCCTGTGGTGAGTCCCTCTGGCACGTCGCGCGGCGCGTCTCCTGGCACGTCCATTGGCACGTCCATTGGCACTTTCCGTAGCGCGTCCCCTCGGCACTGGCACGTCCCGCGGTGCGTCTTCGTGGCACGTCCCTTGGCACGTCGCCTGGCGCGTCCATTGGGACGTTCCGCGGTGCGTCCTCCTGGCATGTTCCCCTGTCAATTAGCTCTGGGGCAGCTACTATGTGCTGAGGCAGCTCGAGCTTGAGATCCAGATCAGTTCGGTCAGGACTCGGGTGCAAAGGAGGACTCGATCCACAACGCTATAAAGCACATTCGCGGCATGGCACATCGCAGTTCAGCATCAGCACGGCGCAGCACAGCACAGCCCTCGGCACGGTACATCAAAATCGATACATTCAGCATTGCATTTGCCCGCCGCCCAATCAGGTGTCTTTGAAACGTTGCCATGCTTTACATTTCTACATTCCTTTCCGGGTTCGTGGGTCGATCATGTTCCTAATGTTCGGTCTCAGGTGGCCCTTACCATGGTTCGGGGCCGCCGAACAACGACTTGGGACGAGAACCGGTCCCAGGGAAGGGGTCGAGACCCATGGTGGTCGACGTCATGAAAAAAATATCCCGGCAAAGCAACCTAACAGCGATGTGTAGGAGCATATCTGGAAGCATTCCCCTTAAGATTCAGATGAGAATCCTGTTGTAGAATTCTGCTGTTCTCGCAGTCGTAGTCGCATTCGCGATGGCAGTCGCAGTGGCAACGGCAGTCGCAGTCACAGCCTCAGCCTCAGCCTGCCTCAGCCTCAGCCTCAGCCTGCCTCAGCCTCAGCCTGCCTCAGCCTCAGCCTCAGCCTGCTTCAGCCTCAGCCTCAGTCTGCCTTCAGCCTCGGCCTCAGCCTCAGCCTGCCTCAGCCTCAGCCTGCATCAGCCTCAGCCTCAGCCTCAGCCTGCCTCAGCATCAGCCTGCCTCAGCCTCAGCCTCAGCCTGCCTCTGCCTCAGCCTCAGCCTGCTTCAGCCTCAGCCTCAGTCTGCCTTCGGCCTCGGCCTCAGCCTCAGCCTGCCTCAGCCTCAGCCTGCATCAGCCTCAGCCTCAGCCTGCCTCAGCCAGCCTGCCTCAGCCTCAGCCTCAGCCTCAGCCTGCCTCAGCCTCAGCCTCAGCCTGCTCAGCCTCAGCCTCAGCCTCAGTCAGCCTGCAGCCTCGGCCTCGGCCTCAGCCTGCCTCAGCCTCAGCCTGCCTCAGCCTCAGCCTCAGCCTGCCTCAGCCTCAGCCTGCCTCAGCCTCAGCCTGCCTCAGCCTCAGCCTCAGCCTGCATCAGCCTCTCAGCCTCGGCCTCAGCCTCAGCCTCAGCCTGCCTCTGCCTCAGCCTCCTCAGCCTCAGCTTCAGCCTCAGCCTCAGCCTCAGCCTCAGCCTGCCTCAGCCTCAGCCTGCAGCCTCAGCCTCAGCCTGCCTCAGCATCAGCCTGCCTCAGCCTCAGCCTCAGCCTGCCTCAGCCTCAGCCTCAGCCTGCTTCAGCCTCAGCCTCAGTCTGCCTTCAGCCTCGGCCTCAGCCTCAGCCTGCCTCAGCCTCAGCCTGCATCAGCCTCAGCCTCAGCCTCAGCCTGCCTCAGCATCAGCCTGCCTCAGCCTCAGCCTCAGCCTGCCTCAGCCTCAGCCTCAGCCTGCTCAGCCTCAGCCTCAGTCTGCCTTCAGCCTCGGCCTCAGCCTCAGCCTGCCTCAGCCTCAGCCTGCATCAGCCTCAGCCTCAGCCTCAGCCTGCCTCAGCATCAGCTGCCTCAGCCTCAGCCTCAGCCTGCCTCAGCCTCAGCCTCAGCCTGCTTCAGCCTCAGCCTCAGTCTGCCTTCAGCCTCGGCCTCAGCCTCAGCCTGCCTCAGCCTCAGCCTGCATCAGCCTCAGCCTCAGCCTCAGCCTGCCTCAGCATCAGCCTGCCTCAGCCTCAGCCTCAGCCTGCCTCAGCCTCAGCCTCAGCCTGCTTCAGCCTCAGCCTCAGTCTGCCTTCAGCCTCGGCCTCAGCCTCAGCGTGCCTCAGCCTCAGCCTGCATCAGCCTCAGCCTCAGCCTCAGCCTGCCTCAGCATCAGCCTGCCTCAGCCTCAGCCTCAGCCTGCCTCAGCCTCAGCCTCAGCCTGCTTCAGCCTCAGCCTCAGTCTGCCTTCAGCCTCGGCCTCAGCCTCAGCCTGCCTCAGCCTCAGCCTGCCTCAGCCTCAGCATCAGCCTGCCTCAGCATTCAAAATGTGGCCCGGGAATGGAGTTCTGGGAACTCGAAGAACACGAAGTGGCCTACAGTTGGCTCCGGGCATTCAAAATCATGCCCAGGAATGGAGTTCTGGGAACTCGAAGACCACGAAGTGGCCTACAGTTGGCTCCGGGCATTCAAAATCATGCCCAGGAATGGAGTTCTCGGAACTCGAAGACCACGAAGTGGCCTACAGTTGGCTCCGGGCATTCAAAATGTGGCCCAGGCATGGAGTTCTGGGAACTCGAAGACCACGAAGTTGCCTACAGTTGGCTCCGGGCATTCAGAATGTGGCCCGGGAATGGAGTTCTGGGACCTCGAAGACCACGAAGTGTGTAATTGTTGGCTGAAAAAAATCCCCGGTACCCCCCCGGATTGCGCCCAGACCCCCTTGGGGCGTCATGATGCTCTCTTTTGACCCTACTAGAAACCTATCAGTCTTCGCTGTTCGGTAACATGACGTCGGGGGTCTGGGCACCCAAACCCACGACGTCGAGATTTTTTACAGCGTGGACCCCTTGAGTTCTCGACCCCATCTTTCTGGACCAGTTCTTCATCCCTCGTCGTCGTTCGACGATCCTGGGGCCCAGCAAGGGTTCCCTGAAGGAGACAATGTCCAGAAACCTCGCAGTTCGATGTTTTCACGACTCGAAGGGGTCTGGCAACTCGTCCCGATGTCCCGAACTCGATGCGAAGGAGGGATATCCTTGAGGCCTCGCGCGGCGTGCAATAGTCGTATAATCTAGTCCACACGTCCGCCACGCCAGATATGGGACGACGTTTGCACGGAAAAGTTCCGACGTAAATCCGAGGCAAACCCGACGCGAATCCGACGTGAATCCGATGCGACTCCGACGTGGGTCCGACGTAATCTGGGCCTCACGTTGCCGCGTGTGGCCTCCAGGATTTTCGCCATAGTGAACGGTGCTGACTGATCTGCCGAGGGGCCGCTGGCCCAGGGGTACCCTCCGGCGCGGCGCCCGGCGCTGGGCAGTCTCGGCGCGGTCTTCGGCGGTCACCCTGTCAACCTGGCCGAGTGCGGGCTCTCGGAGCGGCTGGGCGGGGCCTTCGCGCTGATGTGTATCGTGAGGATCGGGTCAGACTTGAAGTCGGGAGGGGAAATCAGACCCAGACCTCCTCGAGTCATGAAACGATGATGGCGGGAGGTTTTTCTGTATTTTCGGCTTCGTGGGGCCCTCATCGGGCCTCGGGACAGTCAACAAAAACGCATCAGGATGAAAAACTGGTCCCGGGGAATGGGTCGAGACTGATGGGAGTCGACGTCATGAACAAATCATGACGTCGGTGGTCTAGGGAGGAGGAGGAGGAGGAGGAGGAGGAGGAGGAGGAGGAGGAGGAGGATGTACGGATACCAGTCCCCCCTTTCTCGCTTTCCTCTGTTTGGGCCTCCTGGGAGGCCCTCGTCACCACTGCACGGCATGACCAGCCTCGCAGTTCTTATCAGAACGCACCCCGGGACCCAGGAGAGGTTCGGGGAGGAGCACTACCAGTATCTTCTGGTTCCCCCACCAGTGACAGCCGTGGGGAGCCCGTCCGCGTGTTGCGCCTTCGTGATTGTCCGAGGGCATGGTGGCAGGTCGATGGGGCTCTCACGGCCCCACGGCGGCGTTGATAGATAGTATTGTTGCTCCCCCAGGAAGGGAGGAGGAGGAGGAGGAGGAGGAGGAGGAGGAGGAGGAGGAGGAGGAGGAGGAGGAGGAAGAGGAGTAGGAGGAGGAGGAGGAGGAGGAGGAGGAGGAGGAGGAGGAGGGGGATTTCTCGGAGGAGGGCCAGTCGAGACGACGACGGCCCCTTGCGACGCCGCTGTCTCCTCTGGGCCTCCTCTGAGTTTCGGCGGCGCGCACCACAAGGGGGTGGCTCGAGGGGGCGGCTGTCCAAGAAGGCGGGGGGGCCTATTCGAAGGCAGGGGCAAGGCTTCTTAGAAGCTGGCAGGTCTTCTAAGAAGCTCCCGTCTTCTTAGAACCCCCCCTCTTCTCAGAAGGCGCCCCCCCCACCGCTCTCCCCACGCGCAACCCCCTTGTGCGCGCCGTCAGGTCCATTCGGGTGGTTCTGAGGGGGCATCGGGGGTCCTGGGGGTCCATGGGTGTCTGGCTGTGAAGGGGCTCAGCGGGCAGATCCACGCACTGGTTGTCGTTTTCCATCTCCGCCGACCTAGGGACACGCTGGGATCGGGGACTTCGGCAAAGCGTTGGGCGTAGAGCGTGATACCCCATCAGGGCCGAAACCAGCTGCACGCAGCAGATTTCGTGCTCCCCCCTCCCCCCCACGCGGAGGCCTCCCGCATGGGGTCCGAGTAGATGGTGTCGGAGGATCGCGCCGCGTCGTCGATGCGTCGACGGCGTCGCCGATGCGGCGGGATCCTCCGACCCCACTTGCTCGGACCCCATGTTCGGAAGCTGGGCGAGGGCTGGCAAATCTGTGGCTGCTAGAACAGTCTTCCCGGAAGAAACAACAACTTCCCAGAATAAGCTCAGCGCACTAAGCAGTAAGCAGGCTGCTTCCCAGAAGAAAACAAACAATTTCCCGGAGCTCCGTTTTAGCAGCCACGGGTTTGCCAGCCTTCGCCCGGCTTCTGACATGTGGGTGGCCTACAGGTGGGGTGGGAGGTGGGGGTACGATCTCTGCTGCGTGCAGCCGGTTTCGGCCCCGACGCCGGGCGCTCCCCTCGACACATGGTCGCGCCTGGCGCCAGGGGGCGCTGGGAAGACCAGCTGCGTGAAGCTGGCTCCCAGCCCCCTCCCTTTTTGATGTGCCCTCCGTTCGTCCGCCCCGCGAGGATGGACAGAACGGGCATGTGGTCACGCATCTTCGATTTCAAGGTCCGATTCCACGACGGCGACGTACGCGACCACGATGCCATCTCCGCCGGAAGCGTGGCGAACACGACCGACCTGGAGTTCACAGTGTACCGGGGCACTGTTCGGAAGCGCCTGGTCGTGCGCAACTTCTTCTCGGAGGAGGGCCAGTTGTGACAGCGTCGGCTCCCCCGCCCGGCCCCAACGCGCTCGAAATCGGTCCCCGGACGCATCCCGGGTCCAGCCGTGGCGACGAGAAGGTTCCAGGAGGCCCAGGGATGACGAACAGTGCCAGGGATGGCCGCCGTTGCCGTTGTCTCGACAGGCCCTCCTCCGATCTTCACTTTGGGGCTGGAGGACACCGTGCTGTTCACCGTGGCGGCAAATGGCCACATGAAGGTCACTCGGGCGGGCGAGACCGTCGGCGAGGCGCTGGGGCATCCTCCGCGGTTCGCGCGGCGGACCCAGCTCGATCTGGGCGGCAGCTACCTCGACTCGACGCAGGCCAGCGCCAGGGCAACTGTGGTCGGCCTCCTTTCCATGCCTGTGCTCCTCCAAGCTCTCCTCCTCCCTCCTCCCTCCTCCCTCCTCCCTCCTCCGCCCAGCGGCGTCACCCCAACATACCAATTACGATGTGTGCGTCGCCCCCCGCCCCCACCAGGGGCGACACGCGCGCCGAGAAAGCCTCCAGTGCAGGCTCTCGGTGGCGGGCGCTTTCTTTCCACACGGCTCGGGAAGCGATGCATGCTACAAGATGTTTGCACGGGCGCCTCCACCAGAAACGCATGGTGCCACGGTGGGGGCGTTGGTGAAGGAATGCGCCCAGGAATGCGCCCAGGGTGGCGGTGATATCCACGACCAAGCCTCGATTGGAGTTCCATTGGCCTCCAGACCCTGGATTCCTTATCGAAGGGTTCCTTATCCAATGCCACCACCGTAGTAAACCCATCTCTGTTCCATCCTCCGACCCGCTCGAGTCGAGAACAGCAATCGGGACCGGAGGCTCTCGGCCACCTTCGGCCTCCGAGGGCCCCTGCCAGGCTCCGCGACGGTCGACAGAACGACTCGCGGGACGAACGATGGGTCCTGGGGAAGAGTCGAGTCGGACGAACAGGGGGGACGGCATGGGAAAGGGGGCTTGCGAACTCTGCTGCGTGCAGCTTCCTCCCAGGCCTAGCTGCCTCGGTGCGCCCGTTTTGATGCGCAACACGTGCGGTGCCTAAATCGTCCGTGTCGATACGTTGCGTGTTGGCTCCACGTATTGGCCCACGTTCTGGCGAACGTGTCGCATCAGACCTACGTGTTCAGTCTGCGTGTGGGGCTTCGTATCGATACGCTGCGTGCTGCGTGCTGCGCATCGGGGCAGCTAAGCTCCCAGGGCTTCCTCGGGAGCATCCGCGGCGTCAGGGTCTGGGACCGCGAGGTGCTGTGGGCCCCGCCGAGGCGGCGGGGGCAGGCCTGCGCGGACGCCCGCGGGCGCTTCGTGGACCCTGGCGCGCCCGAGCTCGGGGAGATCACGGTCTCGCAGGAGAGGTGCCAGGCGCCGCGAGCGGCGGGCGTGTGCATGTCCGCCCCTGAGATCCTGGCGTCTCAATTTCCTTTCGAGCTGGGCGCGTTCGTTGACCGGCTGCGGGCCCCCGGGAGCCTCACAGATCGCTCCGGCTCGAAACATGGCGCAGAAGGGTAGGGTCCAGGGTTCTGGTCGTGCTTTTTCTGCGATGTTGATAATTATTTGTTTTGCGGCGTCGGATCTCAGGGTCCGAACTTTGGAGCCTCCTCGGGGTCTGAGGTCTGAGGTGGCCCAGCACTGGTTCTGGCCAGCTGGAAGGGAGGGGGGCAGGAGTTCAGGCTATGGGATCGGTAGGTTTTTCTTTGCTTCTTTTGGCCAGGGGCTGTTTTCCGGCCCCGGGATCAAGTAAAACGGCTTGGGGGGGAACCGTTGCACCAGATGGACCGGGGAGGGGTGCAGGGAGAGATTACGAGGAGACTCGGCTTCGTCCCCCCCTCCTGACAGATTCTTTGCGTCCCCAACCAGTTCAGACCCCCCGGCCCCCTCCAAGGCGAACGTGCCCATGTCCGAGCCCTCGTGGACTGGATCTGGGGCCCGATCCTGTGGATACGCAATCGCAGGGATACGTTCCGCGCGGGGCGTCCGCGAGACAGTGCCCAGAGCCCGCGGGGTCGCAGCCTGGGGGCCTCGCCCGCGAGGCCGCGGATACGGACGCGTTTCTTCTCCACCCACGAAGGCGAGCATCGCCATGTTGGGCTGGCCGAGCCCAGCCTGGCGGCGCGCACCAGGGGGGGGGTCTCAGAGGAGCACTACATACATTCATACCATTGCCCTTTCCTTGCCACCGCAGCCGGGACCGATGGCCAGTGCGCACCCCAGGAGCGGCCCGTGGAGTAGCGGCGTATGGGTGTCCCTTTCTGCTCAAGCAGGGGCGCGAGGGTGGCGGCCTCCGATGGCGGCGTGCTTCTCCGAAGGCAGGGGGGGCTCCGTGGAGGCGCCCAGGTGCTTCCTTCTTGGAGGCCGGCAGGGCCTCTGGGAGGCCACTTGCCTCCCAGGATGCCCACCCCGCCTCTTTCGAAGGCCCTCCCCCTCGCGCCACCCACGGAGGAAAGAACAGCGACACCACCCCCACCACCACCACCACCACCACCACCACCACCACCACCACCACCACCACCACCACCACTACCACCACCACCACCACCACCACCACCACCACCACCACCACCACCACCACCACCACCACCACCAGCGGTGGCACCTCCAGCGAGGAGGTTCTCGATGCCTCCCCCAGCTGGGGATATAGATGATGCCTCGAGCGGTGAGGGGGGACCACACCACCAGAAGAGCCCCCCCCCCGGCTCCCGTGCTGGTGGTGGTGATGGTGGTGTCGCTCTTCCTTGTTCCTAGGTGCCCCCCTCGCCCACCCAGACATCCGTCGATGTGATGTGTTCAATCCACGGCCCCTTAAAGGTTGACCACTTGGTTTTCCGCCCCACATCTATGTTTGATGGCCCTGGGGCCAATGAGGGCCCCCAGAGGCCGAAACGAAGGCACAACGACCGATCGACGAAAGCCGCGCCCTGACGGCGCATCGGCAACAACTGAAAAAATGGCGGAAGCACGCGTGTGGAACCATGTAGGAGAACAGCTAGAACGCTAGAGCAGCAGTGCCTCGGGCGACGTGCGCTCGGAACTTTGCCCAAACGCTGTGCAAGGGCAGGCTGCGCTGCAAATGGAGGGGAGTTTGACCTTCGCCCATTTTCTCGAGTGTCGCGTAGGCAGTGGCAGCGGCAGAGGCGAAGGAAGATCGCCCGGACTGAAAAGATCATGCTGGCGGATGTCTGGGCATGGTTCAAAAGCGACAAGAGGACGCACACGTACATGAATGCAGCACGCTGGTTTCGAGAAGACGTGTTGCGCGAATGCTCGTATCACGCGGCCGGCCTCGCGGATCGAGGGGCCGCGTTCATGTACATAGTTGTGCGCGTACTACAAATCCCTTACTACTCGTTCCCCAGGTCTGGTTTTTGTAAGGCGTCTTTTTTGTAACTGGGGGGTCCGGTCTATTAGGGCGCTTTCTTTGGATCGGAGCTTAGGGGGTCTGGTTAATGAAGGCGCTCCGTCGGAGAGGGGGGTCCGGAATACTAGGTCGCATTTGGAGGGGGGTCCAGTTTTTTAGGGGGCGGGGTTGATCAATAAGGGATTTGGGGCACGTCTTCTGTGGGCTCCCTAATGGCGCGCGCCGCCAGCCAGCCCGCGCGGTCCCTGGAAGTCTCGACCCATTCCCCAGGACCGGTTTTTCATCCTGAGTCGTTTTTTGACGGTCCCAGGGCCCGGCGAGAGCCCCTAGAGGCCGAACATCGAGAAAAACCTCCGTCTTGATTTCTCCCGGAAAGGGTGTAGGCCCAGGGTTCTCTTTTATTAGGTTTACCTCCAGGTCTGACGGGAAGAGGGCCGGCGGATTTCTTCTGCGATAACTAACGAGTGGGAAGAGGGCCGGCGAATTAATATTTGAGGATGTCCCTAGCGAAACGCTTGTTTTTCAGAATTGGTTGAGGATGTCTCGAGCGAAACGCTTATTTTGTGTTATAGATTGTCCTCTCCTGGGGACTAGAATTTAGAGGATCTCTCAAGTGAAATGCTTGGTTTCACGTGCCAAGGTCTTGAGGATGTCTCGAGCGAGACGCTTGGTTTCACGCATCCAGGTTGCCCAGGCAGAGGTCAAGCGCCAGGATTTGTTGAGGATATCTCGAGCGAGACGCTTGGTTTCACGCGTCCTCGTCGCCCAGGCGGATGTCTAGAATGAGGAGGTGTTGAGGAAGTCTCGATCGAGATGCTTGTTTGCACATGTCCAGTTCGCCCAGGCGGATGCCTAGCATGAGGATGTGCTGAGAATGTCTCGAGAGATAAGCTTGTTTTCACGTGTCCAGGTCGCCCAGGCGGATGTCTAACATGAAGATGTGTTGAGGATGTCTCGAGCGAGACGTTTGCTTTCACGTGTACAGGTCGCCCAGGCGGATGCCTAGAATGAGGAGGTGTTGAAAACGTCTCGAGCGAAACGCTTGTTTTCATGTGACCAGGTCACCCAGGCGGACGTCTCACATGAAGATGTGTTGAGGATGTGGATGGCTCTCCCCTGCGTTCTGGAAGCAACGTCCACCAGTGCAGTTCTTGGACAGGGCTTACCACAGCTATACCCAACGGCCACCGCCTGGGGCGCTTCCAGTGGACAAGGTGCTTCATGGTCCTGCGACGCAGGCTCGTCTCCAAGTGATTGAGGCTCGCGCCGCCGCCGACGCATGCGCATCGAAATTCAAGCTCCAGCGTGTCCTTACCTCCTCGCTCCGCGCCTCTCTTTTTCCTGATTCTTTTCACCTCACTGTTGAGAAGAGGCTTCAGACTTGGGAGGTCCCGCATCCGAGGGACCCGTGGCCTCCGCTGAGGTCCCTGCTGGAGCCTTTAGCCCCTTCCTGGCAGTCTGCGGTAGTGAAGACTCTCTGCGGGGGCTGGCTCACATCCGCGAGGCTGCACATCCCGTCGGGTGTCCGTGGCTGTCTTTTCGAGTGTGGTTGCGCTCACCAGCGTGACACTTTTCAGCACTATCTTCGATGCCCTGTTCTCTAGTCGCAGAGCGTTGCTGGCCTCGGTAGTGCGTTGGAGAATGTGGCGTCCAGGATCGGGCTGGATGGGACTCCGACGGCTGTGCAGGTGGAGTCGATTGTTCTGGCATATCATTGTTACAATTCCGTGCGCGTTCGATCTCGCCCAGCTGAGGCAGAGGTGAGCGCGTATCTCTTTCAGATTCGGCGGGCTGCGATGGCGCTCGTCGATGCTTCTCGTGCGCTTTAGGCTCTCGTTGAGACCCTTGTGGCGCCCATTGGTACGAGCGGCGTGTCCACTTCGCCCAGGCGGATGTCTACCATGAGAATGTGTTGAGGATGCGTTGAGCGAAACGTTTGCTTTCACGTGTCCAGGTCGCTCAGGCGGATGTCTAGAATGAGGATTTTGACAGGATGTCTCGAGCGAAACGCTTGTCCCCAGCCAGTTCCGTAGCGCGTCCCCTCGGCACGTCCTACGGTGCGACCCCATGGCACATCCCCTGGCACGTCGCCTGGCGCGTCCCTTGGGACGTTTCGCGGCGCGTCCTCCTGGCATGTCCCCCTGTCAATTAGCTCTGGGGCAGCTACTCTGTGTTCAGGCAGGTCGAGCTTAAGATCCAGATCAGTTCGGTCAGGATTCGGATGCAAAGGAAGACTCGATCCACGACGCTATAGAGCACAACCGCGGCATGGCACATCGCAATTCAGCACGGCGCAGCACAGCACAGCCGTCGACACGGTACATCAGGACCGATACAATCAGCATTGCACTTGCCCGTCACCCATTCAGCTGTCCTTGAAAACGCTGCCATGCGTTACATTTCTATATTCCTTTCCGGGTTCGTGGGTCGGTCACTACTACTACTACTACTACTACTACTACTACTACTACTACTACTACTACTACTACTACTACTATTACTACTACTACTATTACTACTACTACTACTACTACTACTACTACTACTACTACTACTACTACTACTACTACTACTATTACTACTACTACTACTACTACTACTACTACTACTACTACTACTACTACTACTTACTACTACTACTACTACTACTACTACTACTACTACTACTACTACTACTACTACTACTACTACTACGACTACTACTACTTACTACTACGACTACTACGACTACACACTACTACTACTACTGCTGCTGCTAGCTGCTTACACTACTATACTTACTACTACTACCACGACGACGATCGACGACGACGACGACAGACGGACGACGACTACTAATTCTACTACTACACTACTACTACGACTACACTACGACTACTACTACTACTACTACTACTACTACTACCACCACCACTTAACTACTACTAACTACTACTAACTACTACTACACTAACTTACTACTAATTCCACGACGACGACGACGACAACGACTACTACTAATATTACTACTTACTAACTACTACTACTACTGACTACTACTACTACTAACGATTACGCTAATACTACTACTACTACGACTTGATAACTACTTTTTCCTGACTACTACTACACTACTACTACTACTACTATTTACTCTACTACTACTTACTACTACTCTACTACTAATACTACTACTACTATACTTACTAACTACTACTACTTCACTACTACTAGCACTACTTTACTACTAACTACCAGATTTCGAAGTATCGGAAATATAACCCGACGAAACGAACCGACGACTACTATTACTACTACTACTACTACTACTACTACTACTACTACTACTACTACTACTACTACACACGTACACGTACTACTACTACTACTAAGTACCCACCACCACCACCACCACCACCACCACCACCACCACTGCTACTACTACTACTACTACTACTACTACTACTACTACTACTACTACTACTACTACTACTACTACTATTACTACGACTGCTGCTGCTGCTACTATGTTTTTCATTGCGTTTGAGGTCTGGGTTTGTGGGTTCCCTACTGGTGCGCGCCGCCAGCGAGCCCTCGCGCACCTGGCGGGCAGCGTGCTGCGGCTCACGGCGCGCGGGGCCCCGCACGCGGGGCGCACCGGCGCCGGCGACTGCGGCCCCGCTGCCGGCATCGGCCGCCGCCGCTCCCCCGAGGGCGCCGGCAGGCCCAGCGACGAGCAGGCTGCGGCGGCCGCGGTGCCCCTGGACCCTGAGATCTTGATGGGCCTGTGTTCCACCGCCACCACCATAAGTAGGAGGGGGCGACGCCCTTCTCCTCCTCCTCCTCCTCCTCCTCCTCCTCTTCGTCCTCCTCCTCCTCCTCCTCCTCCTCCTCTTCGTCCTCCTCCTCCTCCTCCTCCTCCTCCTCCTCCTCCTCCTCCTCCTCCTCCTTCCCACCCATCACTGAGACCTTGGCGTTGCAATTCGTTCACACTGGACGTTTGCGCCCTGCTTCGGACCGCGGGGCCCTCACAGATAGATCCGGCTCGAAAGGCGGCGTGGAAAGCTAGGGTCTGCGGTTCTGGTCGTGATTGTGCGCGATGCTTCATTCATTCTGCAACGTCGGATCTTATGGGATCGGCGGCGAGCCCCGGGGGGAAGTGAGAGGGGGCAAGCCTTCTCAGAAGGCGGCAGGGCTTCTCAGAGGCTCTCGCGCCTTCTGAGGAGCCGCCTGCGGAGAAGGCCCAGACAATTTCCCAGCAGGCTGGAGGCCTTCCGAGCCTTCTGAGAAGGCCCCCCCCCCTCTGCCTTCCCCCCTGGGCTCTGCCGCCGACCGGAGCTCAGAGGAAGAAGCGTGTTTTGCGTTGCGCCGGCGTTGATCCAGAGATCGAGGAAGGGGTGCGGATGCCGCTATACCCGTCCCTCGTCCTGGCCCCGGCCTTCTGGGCCTCCCGAGTTGACTCCTCGCCGCCGCGGCCGGGCTCTTGAGCAGCGGCGCCGGCCCGTCTCCCCTGCCCCGTCAGGAGCCCTGTGGGGGCCCGACGGCGGTGGTGACCGCGCGGGGCGAGATCGCGTGGCAGGGCCCCGGCTACCACGGCCTCTGGAGCAGGGCGCCGAGGTGACGGCGGCGAGCGCCCGCGGCGGCGGGGCCCCGGCGGGCGCGGTGGGGGCGTCGGTCGAGGAGTGCGCCCGGGAGGCCTCAGACCCTGGAGGGCTCCTCTGGTGTGGGCGGCGGTGACACGACCAGATCCAGGCGTCCCAGTTTTTCCCGGAACGGGCTTAGGCCCAGGGTTCTCTTTTAGTTGGTAGACCTGTCCCTGGTGCCAAGTTCGAGGAGGGCCGGCGAATTTCTTTTGCGATACATGACGAGGTCGAAGAGGGCCGGCAAGTTAAATTTGAGGATGTCCCGAGCGAATCGCTTGCTTGGCAGAACTTGTTGAGGATGTCTCGAGCAAGACGCCTGTTTTGTGTTCTAGATTGTCCTCTCCTGGGGAGCAGAATTCAGAGGATCTCTCAAGTGAAATGCTTGTTTTCACGTGCCCAGGTCTTTGGATGTCTCGAGCGAGACGCTTGGTTTCGCGCGTGCGTCCAGGTTGCCAAGGCAGATGTCTAGCATGAGGATCTGTTGAGGATGTCTCGAGCAGGACGCTTATTTGCACGCGTCCAGGTTGCCCAGGCGGATGTCTAGCGTGAGGACGTGTCGATCATGTCTTGAGCGAAACGCTTGTTTTCACGTGTCCAGGTCGCGCAGGCACAGCACAGCCCTCGGCACGGTACATCAAGATCGATACACTCAGCATTGCAACCTGGCACATTCCCTAGCACGTTCCGTGGGGCGTCCCTTGGCGAGTCCCCCTGGCACGTTGCGTGGCGCGTCCCCTGGCACGTCCCGCGGCACGGCCATTGGCACGTTCCGTAGCGCGTCCCCTTGACACGTCCCGCGGTGCGTCCCCATGGCACGTCCCCTGGCACGTCGCCTGGCGTGTCCCTTGGGACGGTCCGTGGCGCGTCCTCCTGGCATCTCCCCCTGTCAATTAGCCGTGGGGCAGCTACTATGTACCCAGGCAGCTCGAGCTCTCGAGCTTAAGATCCAGATCAGTTCGGTCAGGACTCGGATACAAAAGAGGACTCGATCCACAAGGCTATAAAGCACAACCGCGGCATGGCACATCGCAATTCAGCACGGTGCAGCACAGCACAGCCCTCGGCACGGTACATCAAGATCGATACAATCAGCATTGCACTTGCCCGTCACCCATTCAGGTGTCTTTGAAGCGTTGGTATGCCATACATTACTATATTCCTTTCCGGGTTCATGGGTCGATCATGTTTCGAGCCGGGCGTTTCCGCCGTTTTGCGGGCCCGGGGACCCTCACATATCGATGCGGCTCGAAGAAAGACGCAGAAAGATGGGGCCCGGGGCCCCGGGCGTGATTTTTGACGATGTTGCAATTTTTTGGTCGGATCTCAGGGGATACCCGTGGCCAAAGTGGCGCTCCACCAGCTTGCAGACACTGGGTCCCTTGTCCCACTGGCTACTGATCCAGCGCCCTCACCGTACAGTCAACCCGCACAGCAAGGATGAGCAGCTTTCCAAGGTAACCCTTGCATCTTTTCCCTTCGGCCCATCCGTGGCCGCTTTCGCTGGCCGCGCCCCGCTCGCAAAGTGTCGACATGGCCTTCCAATGCCCTTGTGTCCTTATCGTGCGTCCGTACTATGCGGGGATGATTGTAGGGGGGGCTGGCTCGGGGGGGAATGCGATTCGTCGGCGAGGAACGGGGAACAAGAAACGGCGCAAGCATACACTTCCGGAGCTCCGCACGGATTTCTTGGATCGGCGCCAGGTCCCCCGGCCCGGGCGGCGCCTCCGGCGCCTCCCCTGCGCGCTCCGCGCGCCGTGGAGGGGGGCCCAGCGCCAATCCAAGGAATTCCATGTTTTTCTTTTTCTTCGTCTTCTTCTTCGTCTTCTTCTCCTTCTGCTCCTTCTTGTCTTCTTCTCCGATGAGGGGGAGGCGGAGGAGGAGGAGGAGGGGGAGGAAGAGGAGGAGGAGGAGGAGGAGGAGGAGGAGGAGGAGGAGGAGGAGGAGGAGGAGGGAGGGGGAGGTGAAACCACTGTGCAGGCACCGGGCCGCAGACGGGGCGCGCGCAGCAGTCCTGTGGGGCCGCGGCGCGGGGCCCTCCGGGCCAGAGGGCCCGCGGGGCCGGGGGGCGACCGCGGGGCGCGCGCCCGCAGTGCGGGCGCGCGCCGCGGTTCAGGCGATCGCAAACAGGCCCCGAGCCTACCCCCTCCCTCCCTCCCTCCCCCTCCCTCCCTCCCTCCCTCCCTCCCTTACCCTCCAGCCCAGCCCAGCATGGCAAGACTGGAATGCCACGAGCCTACCCTCTCAGAGCCCCGAATCATCAGGGGTAACTCGGGTCAGGGCTAACTCGGGTTCCTTTCTCGGGAATCCAAACCCGAGTTACCCCGGACCCGAGTTATCCCGGATAACTCGGGCGTCCAGAGCCCCGAATCATCAGGGGTAACTCGGGTCAGGGCTAACTCGGGTTCCTTTCTCGGGAATCCAAACCCGAGTTACCCCGGACCCAGCCCAGCATGGCAAGACTGGAATGCCACGGCGCCGAGGCCGGCTTTGCTCGGTGTCTCAGTGGGGGGGAGCGTTATCGCGAGTCGTCGTAAAGACTCAGGCGATCGCAAACATCGATCAAGGGGGCGTGGATTAGCGATGGGTTCCGGTCCCACGGGAAATCGCGGGCTTCCGCCGCCGAGCGAGGCGGCACCGGCCGCATTTTGGGGAGGGCACCTCCCCCGATGCACGGATTTGGCGGCCGCGCGCCAAATCCGAGGATCGCTAATCCATGTTTGCGCGCCCCCGAGCGGTGCTGGGGGCCCAGGGCCGCCCAGACACCCTCGAGCCGTGGACAAAAGCGCGCGCAGTGGGGTCCCCAGGTGGCTGTCCGCGATGCGATGGCGGCGGCCTGCGCGCTCCAGTTCGACCTCCCCGCGGACCCCGAAAGTGGCGCACCAGAAGTCACCCCTGTCTAGAGTCACTCGTATGCGTGTGGCCGACTCCGGGGGGCGCCGCGGAGAAGGAGAAGGCTTTCTCAGAAGGCGGCGGAAGATCTCAGAAACCCTCCTGCCTTCTGAGCAGTTTTTTTCTGTCTTCGGGGAAGGCGCAGGAAACTTCTTGGGACGTTTTGGATGCTTATTGGGCCTTCGCAGGGTCCTCTTAGGCCATCTTTAGACCCTCGTGGGGGCCTTTTGGATTATCTTAGGGCCATCGTCGAGGCTTCTCGGGCCGTCTTGAGCTGATGGAAGCCCGAAAAGGGGAGAATGCGACAATCAGTCAAAAACCCTGAGGGACAGCATTGAATTTGGCTTCGTCGGGCCCTGTTTGGGACTCTCTTGGGGCCCTCTTGAACATATCTTGGGACGTCTTGATGCCATACTCGGCCGCCATGGGGCCTTTTCGAGGCATCGTGGGCCATCTTGGTTGCCTCGGTTGCCTGCCAAGGCCGTCTTGGAAGCTCGGGGCGCGGACACACAGTTCTTCACGAAGGACCGTGGCCGCTGGAGCATGGACTCATAGTTTTTACTAGGGATCGTGGCTTCGGGGGCAGGGGGTGTGCATGCGACTGTGCCGTGGTAGAGGGGGGAGGGGCTCCCTTATTAGGAAACAAAAGCTCTACAGAGCAGCACCTGGCATTCCAACAAGGATCAGTGCGGCAGGATGCACGTTGGCGGATGGATTCGTTTTCTCACTTTGCCGTCCCAATGGCGTCCCCGGATGATGCTGGGTGGAGACCCAGAAACAGAACCTGAAAATAATATCGCACGTGATTGCACATCCGGTGTCGATTCGTTGAGTTTTTTGGCCGCAGCATGACCCCCCCACACGCACACACTTCGGGGCGGCGTCGTTTGGAGGAAGTATTAAGCGGGAGCCCCGTTTCTGCTTTCAGAAGGCGGTTGATGCAAGCAGAGCCAGTGGGTGCGCCCAGGGAGCTAAGCATGGAGCCGCGACTCCAGACCGGCCCAGACCCTTCGAAGACGATCCACTTACCCTCCAAGGCACCCGGTGGCCTGGCCGGACATGCTGTGCGGTGTTTTGTTCTGCGCCGCTGTGCGATGCCATGCTTTGCGTTGAAATTCTTTGTGATGCAATGCTTCACTACGAAATGCCACACCATGCTATGACATTCTACGCTCTGCCGTGCTCTTCTACGCCATGTCATGCCGTGCTCTACGATGCATCGCGCACCCTCTCGCGATCATTGCCCTGCTCTACATCCGACTGTGCGAATAAAGAGGAGATCTGCGCCACGGTAAGGGATGGGAGGGAGGGGTAGGACGTCGAATATGACGCACGCGCACGCGGAACCGAGTACACATCGCGCGGGCTGTATGCCCACAGATGCGCGTCGGTGGCCCGGTCGCGGGCGTTCCAGGTTGCACGCCACCAATGGCCCAGAATCGGAGTCTGGCACGATCCACGCGGCGTCAGAAGCCAGCGTCTGGGTCGTCACGGCACGAGCCTGTCGTAGTCTTCGCTGGACGCACACGACGCCCATCGGCATGTTGGTTCCCACTGCCGTTGGGCACTTCGATCCGATCGATCCGACTCGATACCAATTTCGGGCTGGCCCGGTCCGATTCGGTTCCGATGTTCCGACGATCCGGCGCGGCCCGATGCTCGCGTGGCCATGTTGTGCATCCTGGCGCAGCCGATCTGATTCGATCTCGACCCCGTGCCAGTGCGGCCCGATCCGAAGCAAGCTCCGATCCGATCCGACTCTCGATCCGATGCTGGCCGATCCCGCCTCCCGCGGCGGGCCCCGGCGGGGCCAGGGCCTGCGCGCCGAGAAGAAGGCGGAGACCGAGGAGGCGAAGAAGAAGGACCCCGGGCCCGGAACAGACTCGGGGCGGACGACCGGGTGGTCGGGGGCAGCGATGGGGGGGGGTGCAGGCAGAGGGGGAACGCATCGACTCCCCAATCGCCCCCGAGAAGAACGCGGAGGTCGAGGAGGCGAAGAAGAAGGACCGGGCCCGGACCAG